TCCTGGGTTTGGCACCCCCCTGCCCCCCTTCTCCAAAAGAAAAACAAAAAACCTACTAAATTTTTAAAATGTGTTATATTTTTTACATTTAAAAAAAATTTTATTGAACACATTTGTAAACTTTTTAAAAGCCCTGCCCCCCTCTACAAAATCCCTGCACCCCCTCACACACAGTTACAGGCAGACAGTCACACACAGTTACAAGCAGTCACACGCACACAGTCACACATATAGTCACAGGCAGTCATACACAGTTACAGATAGAGAGTTACAAACAAACACAGTCAGTTACAAGCAGGTACACACAGTCACGCACACTGTTACAGGCAGACAGTCACATTTACAGTCACACACACGGTCACAGGCAGACAGTCATACACATAGTTACAGCCACAAACACACACAGTTACAGACAGTTACACACACAGTCAGTTACAGGACCGCCCCCTCCGCCCCCCCCCTTAGTCCACCACTGAGTATTAGTATCACACCTAGAAATAAGGATAACATCTAATTGGCCCTTACAACGTACAAGAGAATAGTCAAAATACTAGCAGAGGTCATGAACACAGAAAGAAACACAGTTGTCAGGAATAGACAATAAAAAAAGATCATTGTATATCTATACACTTTATTCACTATACCATTCTATCTAGGTCTATATGTATAGGATTGATGAATCTATAGATTGATTCTTTATGTGACAATTATTATATGATCCTTCTCAAAATTTATAAATTTATATACCAGTAGAATGATTATGTAGAAATACCGCAAAACAATCTGCACCATTTTTTCTAATTTATTCTTTATTTTTCATGTTCTATGCATCAAAAGCCAGCTTTTGGAGGATACACTAAATCCATTTGTATATATTTAAATTATCTCATTTAATATTACTCCACTTATCATTGTACGAGGAATAGCCAATAATCAGGGATACCAAAAATTAGGGAAGTCAGAAGGAAGTCAAAGTTAATAACCAAAGAAACACGATCAGGAACACACTCTCGGATAATCACTAAAGGGAAACCATGACAGGGCAATGAGCAGAAGAAATTAGTGAGTTTAAATATCCCTTTTGTGAATCCGATTGGCCGTACTCGGCCTTTGACCACAAAACGTGCGAATGTGTTCTCTGCGTGACGTCACCCGCACGTTGACGTCGCTATCATTGTGGACAGACGTGGGGCTACATAACTGCGGATCCGCAGCGGCCGGCGTCCACCGGCATGTCGAAAAAGCCCGGCCATATGGCATGGGACTGCCAAGCAGCACTTCTCCTACTCCTGGAAAGGTGATTTATGTTGTGCATAGCATATGGAGAGAATGTATACGTGACAACTGCCTGACAATCATGCAGGATGGCATACCATGCAGACAGCACACTGAGCTAAGCTTAAATGCATCTAATGATGCGCTCACTCCATGGTTTCTAAGGACTGTCCCCTAGCACTTGCTGGTCCACTCCTCTCCTTACCTTCTTACTAGCAGTGTAATGGTATTTATTAATTAATGACTTTACATCATAAAGAAAGCATATTTAGTGTAATGCGTTGGGGGCACCACTAGGGGGAGTGTGTAGGAAGACATGTGCTTATGGCAGTGACATCACAGGCCAGCCTACTTACACCTAAGATGTAGTACCAGCTCTGACTTAACCCCAGCCAAAGGGCTGGGGCCTTGTAAGTAGCAACCTTTTGTAAGTAATATGTTGTAGTTTTGTATTGTATAATTATTGTAGTAAATTGACATTCTGCTAGCATCTGTTTATTTATTATAGTTATATTAAATATACATTTGATATTACAACGTTTTGTGTATTTTCTATCCACATATTCGACCATAATACCACGAATTATAAAAATATTAATGTTGTTCCGTATTGCTTAATTATTAATTATTAAGAGATTAATATTCATATTTAGGTCACGACCACAACAAGCAGGCAGAAGCTCCCGTTATATAGTCTGGGACAGAGAAAAAGTGTATGTATTGACTTTTGAGTGTAGAAGAAAGAACATGCCACAGTGTTAGAGAGAACGAAGCAGAAAGAGTTTTGCATAGTTTTTTTTACCAACAGTTCTCATTATGTGAAACATTTTATTAGAATTGTTAGTCTTATGTTACCTTTTGTATAGCGTTGCAGAATATGCCGGCACTTTATATAATTGTAATTGTATACAGCAACCACGCTGTCTATTTTTAGTTTTTAAATCTGGGTATACATCTTATCAACCTTCTTAATAGGACTGGCTAATTAATCCTGATCTATACTATTTGTATTATGATGAGCTCAGTGTGGTGGATCGCGTGGCACCCCAACTGGGTACTTCCGCCAATTCACGCTTCCTAGCAATCACCATAAGCACTGCACCGGGACACCATAAGCACTTGCAGCCCCTAGATGCTGCAGCTTGGCTGGGGTCTCACCGTCCCTTCCCACCCTGGACCAACATCTGGATCCAGCTCCCAGTGGGATGACCTCTCCTCCAAGAGAGTATCGCAGTGATTATAGAAGTATAGCTGTTCCCCCCACACATGCCGAGGCCTCTGCAAGGGGTTTCCAATCCAAAATTACAGGGAAATCCCTCCCAGAATCCTCTGTGCCTAAGAGATAAATATCTGAGCAAACACGTATAATTGAATTATCTCTCAGGGACAGGAAATATAACAATTTATAAAACATCCAAAATACACATAAAATACTCAAAACCCCCACAAAAGTTCTGAACATAATCCATAATTAGTGTAGCTTGTTCACCTCATCCATGCGAATGAGTCCACCGAACAGTGTATAAACGAACGCTGGCGATGATGGAAGTCCAGCGGTGTTCGGGAGTTTCAGTGCCTGATTTTAACCCCTTAAGACCAGAGGCCGTACTATTACGCCCTATTTTAGGCAGCGTAATAGTATGCCCTCCGGTCTTTCTTTACTTACCCGGTTGCCGGCGATCCCACGCCGGCGATCGCGGTTGGGGGGACTCCCAGGGAGCCCCCAACAGCACGTCCAACCCCCTGGCAGCCTCCCCGGCCATGTGAGAGTGAGGTCCTTGCGAGGACCTCACAATCACATGGCCGGGATAGCTGCCTCCTGCATTGCCAGCAGGGGGACTGCCTGTAATGACAGGTGGTCCCCCTGCTGGCTGAAAATAAAATAAATAAAAAAAGTGTAAAAATAAATAAATATATACTTAGATCATATATATATATATATATATATATATATATATATATATATATATATATATATATATATATATATATATATATATATATATATATATATATATATATTAATATCAAATTACACGTAGACTGATACTGATTAAATATATATAATTATTGTTATATATATATTTATATATATAATATAAAAAAAATTAAATATGTAAATACGTTAAAAAAAAATAAAAAATAATTAAAAAAAATAATTAAAAAATATATAGATGTGTGTTATTTCGTTTTAACTGTATTGTGATATATATATATATATCTATCAAAATACACGTAGAAAGAAATATATATATCTATATACATAAATATATAAGTATATATATATATATATATATATATATATATATATATATATATATATATATATATATATATATATATATATAAATATTTATAAAAAAAAAATATATATATTTTTATATAGTCACATACATACATACATATATATACATACATACATACATATACATACATATACATACATACATACATACATACATATATATATATATACACACACACACACACACATATATATATATATATATATATATACACACACACACATATATATATACACACACATATATATATACATATATACACACACACACACACACACACACATACATACATATATATATACACACACACACACACACACACACATACATACACACATATATTAATTCTACATATATATTTATGTAATATTTTTACATAATTAGGTATCTTAATTAATTACAATTAGTGGGACCTGCCTGACAACCCATGCCGAAAGTAAAGGGAATTTAATTTGCTAGCACTATATTTAACCCTATAACTTTCCAAGACACCATAAAACCTGTACATGGGGGGTACTGTTCTACTCGGGAGACTTCGCTGAACACAGATATTAGTGTTTCAAAACAGTAAAATGTATTACAACGATGATATCGCCAGTAAAAGTGACTTTTTTGCATTTTTCACGCACAAACAGCACTTACACGGACGATATTATTGCTGCGATACTTTTTACTGTTTTGAAACACAAATATTTGTGTTCAGCTAAGTCTCCCAAGTACAACAGTACCCCTCATGTACAGGTTTTATGGTGTTTTCAAAAGTTACAGCATCAAATATAAGGTTTGTGTTTCATTTTTTTCACATTAAAATTCGCCAGATTAGTTACGTTGCCTTTGAGACCCTATGGTAGCCCAAGAATGAAAATTACCCCTATGATGGCATACCATTTGCAATAGTAGACAACCCAAGGTATTGCAAACGGGGTATGTCCAGTCTTTATTAGTAGCCACTTAGTCAAAAACAATGGCCAAAATTGGCATTTTTTGCATTTTTCACACACAAACAAATTCTAACGCTAACTTTGGCCAGTGTTTGTGACCAAATGGCTACTAAAAAAGACTGGACATACCCCATTTGCAATACCTTGGGTTGTCTACTATTGCAAATGGTATGCCATTATGGGTGTAAATTTTATTGCTGGTCTACTATACAGTCCCAAAGGCAACGTAACCAATCCAGCGAATTTCAATTTCAAATGTAACGTGCTATATTTGACCATGTAACTTCCCAAAACGCCATAAAACCTGTACATAGGGGGTAGTGTTTTACATGTGAGACTTTGCTGAATACAAATATGTGTATTTTATTGCAGTAAAAGCAAACAGTATTATGACATTGACCGTTAAAATGTCATGTAGAACTAAAAAAAAAAAATCTAAAAAAAATCTTATTTTCTCCCATTTTTTCATATTAAATTATGTTTCATAGCTAAATATTTGATATTAAATGAAAGCCCTGTTTCCCCTGAATAAAATGATATATAATAAGGGTGAGTGTATTTAATATGAAAGAGGTGAATTACAGTTGGACAGACATGTAGCGCAAATGCCAGGTTTTGTTTATATTTTGTTTCGTTCACAACGTGTACATTTGGCTCCGTCCTTAAAGGACCACTCTAGGCACCCAGACCACTTCAGCTTAATGAAGTGGTCTGGGTGCCAGGTCCTTCTAGGGTTAACCCATTTTTTAATAAAACATAGCAGTTTCAGAGAAACTGCTATGTTTATTAATGGGTTAAGCTCTTCCCCAGTTCTGGTAGCGGCTGTCTCATTGACAGCCGCTAGAGGCGCTTGCGTGCTTCTCACTGTGAAAATCACAGTGAGAGCACGCAAGCGTCCATAGGAAAGCATTGTAAATGCTTTCCTATGCGACCGGCTGAATGCGCACGCAGCTCTTGCCGTGCGTGCGCATTCAGCCGACGGGGCGGAACGGAGGAGTAGAGAAGGAGGAGAGCTCCCCGCCCAGCGCTGGAAAAAGGTAAGTTTTTACCCCTTTCCCCCTTCCAGAGCTGGGCGGGAGGGAGTCCCTGAGGGTGGGGGTACCCTCAGGGCACTATAGTGCCAGGAAAACAAGGATGTTTTCCTGGCACTATAGTGGTCCTTTAAGGGGTTAATTCCATGAGCTCGACGCCAAAACACTGCTGCCTGCATTCTCGGAAACAAGATGGATGCCACCTTGTGGTTGTTCATATGAACTGCTGCCACCCTGTTGAACAATTAGAACACTGAGGTGGAAATCGTTACAAGGTGTCAATTTGTCAGGGTCTTACCTGAGTTGGGAGTCTGTAGCGCAGATATGATGCTCACCCTTGCAGATACCCGCAGGCCGAGGTGGTCAGGTAAGAATTCACCTGGCCTGTGGGTCTGTGCACGGGGGCTGTGCAGGATGCAGTACCAATACGCAGGACAGGCAAGGACTGAACCAGCAGGATGGTCGAGGGATAGCCGAGGTCAAAGGATGCCAGAGGACAGGAACAACGAGGAGTAGCCGAAGTCAAGGGATGCCAGAAGGCAGAATAAACGAGTCAGGAAGCCAGGGTCAATAATGCGAAGCGATGAAACAGAAACACTAGAACAAACAGGATCAAAGACTTGACCCTGAGCACAGGGCGAGGCTGGGTTTATATATCCTGCTGATGACTGATCAGAGTCAGGTGAAACACAGCCAAGTCAAGGTGCAGCCCCCAGAGTAGTAGCCATGTCAGGATGAACAGGACTGGAATCAGTCTTCACTGTAAATAGCTGCTGTGGCTCAGAGGTAGAAAGCAGGACCAGGACTGAGAAGATCCCCGGTTCAAGTCCCCTGTTGGGAACTCCAAGAGTTGGGAAGTCCGCC